TATATATATATATATATATATATATATATATATGTATATATATAAACAAATATATATTGCCTAGGGACTTTGTATATATTCATGTAGTGCATATAATCTAAGGCATTAGGATTAGCGTAAATAAGTTATTATAAATAAAAATATAGAAATAAATAAATATAAATATAAAAACAAATATAAATAAAAAAACAAAACAAATAAAATATAAAATAAAATAAAATAAAAAAATAATATATGTTTGTGTGTGTGTTGTATTCAGTCTTTACTACTACCAATCCAAAGTATAATAACATCAACATTTTTACGTAGTATAGTCGGCAGTGTATTGATAGATGCTGTATGTTTAGTGCGTCGACGTAAGCTGCTGCACTATCACAAGCTGCTGCTGCTGCTGCTGCTGCTGCTGCTGATTGCATGCACCATAGGCAGCACACAGCAGGGGTTTCCCTCTTCTTTTCTAGTTTTCTCCTGGGCTGTAGGCCTCGCTAGTTGTATAGTGATTGGGGCTTCATATGCAGGTGCATATCTAGCTGAGCTGCTGCAGCGGCGAGCCTTTCTTAGTGTTGTTGCGGTGTCTGTACAGCTGCAGCAGCTGCAGCAGGAGAACACAACACAGCAAGCAACGGGAAAAAATATGTTAGAGCAGCTGGTTGAGCTGGTGCAGCAGATAGGTATATCTATAAATACATTAAATTCTTCTTCTATAGATAATACTACTAAACAAATACTTATGCATGTTTCAGCTGTACAACATAAATGTTTAGATGTATTAACAAGTGGAAAAAATATGTATGAGGTCACCTGGCTGGCGCCAGACGTACCCCCAGAGGTTCAGCAGCTGTATAGACAGTATATAGAACCATACATCAGACAAGACTCAGCAGCTCCCCATACACACGAACAGCGGCACCACCAACTGCAACTGCAGCAGCAGCAGCAGCAGCAGCAGCAGCAGCAGCAACAGCAGCAGCAGCAGCAGCAGCAGCAGAGTGCTGCAATGGCACTCAAACGCGCTTCCGAAACCAAATCCCTCACTCATGCTCTCTCCATTCCTATTGCTGCTCCACCAGCAACAGCAACAGCAACAGCAA